CAACTGATGAAGTGTCGCTACTGCGTCTATTGATCTGCCATTCTTACCTAGTACTCGTTTCCTAATAACAGCGTTGCTCACTCGGGTGTCCCACGATATACGAGCAATGCTTCGAAGACACCTATGATCGAAAACCAATAACCGACGAGTATCTTCTACTCTCATTGGCCATGTTTCACAGCCATAAAGTAAGACGGAGCGAACCACTGCGCAGTACACTCGTCCTTTAGTCAGCAAACGGATATCTCGCCTACCCCATAAGTGACGCAGGTTGGCAAAAGCCAATCGAGCCTTCTGTATCCGTGCCGAGATTTCGTCAGTCACCAGGCTATCAGCACTGATGAGACTGCTGAGATAAGTGAAGCGGTCTACACGTTCGACCACTTCACTCCCTATCACTAGTTCAGGTGCCGATGCAAGCCAATCTTGAAGCAACATTTTGCATTTCGAGGTGGAAAACCGCATCCCGAACATGCTTGCATTGTTGCTTACGGTAGACAGAAGACTCTGCATTGTGTCAGCGTTTTCACCAAGTAGGACTATGTCATCGGCATATTCTAAGTCAATAAGCGAGCCACCTGGTAAAAGGTCTACTCCTGAAAATTCAGACGAGTATAAGGTTATTTCTAGGAGCATGTCTATGATAAAATTAAACAAGAATGGAGAAAGTGGACATCCCTGACGAACACCACTTAAAGTAGAGAATTCCGATGACAGTTCGCCATAACCTCTCACTGGTCCAGTGGTGTTCGAGTAGAGAGCTTGTATGAGGTTGATGTACTTATTTGGTACACCTTTCAATGACAGACACTGCCACAGAACCTCACGATCCACTGAGTCAAATGCCGCCTTAAGGTCCAGGAAAACTACTATTGTAGGACGCCTAAATGTGTGTCTGTGTTCCAGGACCTGTCGTAGTGTGAAAATGTGGTCTATACAGCCACGTCCAGGTCGAAAACCAGACTGGTTTTCTCGAGTTTGCTCTTCACGAGCTTTCGTTAAGCGTCGAAGTATTACAGAGGCCAATATTTTAGATACTATATTAGTTAGGCTTATTCCCCTGTGATTGTCACAAGACTTCTGTCCTTTCTTATAGATTGGGACAATCAGTGATTGAGACCAGTCGGATGGGATTACGTCCAGTTCCCAGATTCTACCTAAGATCTCAGTCAACCTAGCTGCTAAAACTGGACCACCATCCTTAAATATCTCAGGGGTCAGTCTATCAGGACCTGCAGCTCGTCCTCGCTTCAGATTTGCTAACGCTTTTTCAACTTCATTAAGACTAGGGGGACTTAGGTCGATTTGCCATTCAGGATGACTGGAGATCGTGGGTAACTGAAGAGTGGCTCGAGGCCAGTTGAACTGATCCCTAAAGTGTTCTGCCCACCGATCCAGTCTCCTGGATTGAGAATAAATAATATTCCCGTCATTTTCTGAGATAGTCTCGCTTACACTAGGATTCCTAATACCAGTTTCCTTGATAAGTCGGAAAAGTTGTCTAGTGTTGCCTATCGCCGCTGCCTTTTCCATCGCTTTTGCTTTCGCCACCCACCACTGTTCGCGATCGTTACGTAGGCTTTTTATAAGTCTGCGCCTAAGTTGACTTCGTTCTTCATCATGTTCAGATCCAGGTGGGATGAGTTTTCGGGCATCCATCAGATCGGTGGATGCTACTGAGATCCACAGCTTCATTCTAGCCTTAAAGTCAACCTTACTAGCAGATATCACTGCTGTTTCCACAGCCTTTTTGATATGATTCCATCGTGCTTCCGGATGGGAATCGCTTAAATGGTCGCCTAACTGTCTTTCCAGTTCCCCCTGAAACATATTCTTCGCCTTATTATCATTAAGTAAAACCCTAAGAGGCTGACTTACGGTGTCTTTCCTACGCCCAGTAAGCTTCAAACAAATACGTGCTCGCACTAGGGCATGATCTGAATCTAGACATGTGCTCCAGAACGAGCGACAGTCCTCTATCGAACCGCTCCATCGGTGGCTGATGGCGATATGATCTAGTGGTTTGTCCAACGTTGAGACGACTTTGGAGGTCGCCAGGTCAACAGATGCTTTTCCTTATGCCTAAATTTAGTGTTTGCTAAGAATAGGCGGTTGTCTGAGCATGCTTGCAACAGACGGTCACCATTGTCTGTTCTCTGAGCCGCGACACCATAACATCCACCTAGGTGTCTCTCCTGCTCACTTAGTCTACCTACTTGAGCATTGAAGTCACCAGCCATTATAACTATATCAGAGCGCTTAACTTTTTGGAGGAGGTCCGAAAGCTTTCTGTAAGACTCATCTTTTACATCATCTGGGCTGCAGTCAGTGGGGGCGTAGGCTTATATGACGAAGAGGCAACGACGAGTGTCCCTATCTTTCTGAGCCCTTACTGTCCCGTTCAGTTGGACGGCGCACAAGCGACTATCTACAGGGATCCAGTCAAGGAGAGATTGTTCTGCCCTACGACTCAATGCTATACCTACACTGGCGAGGCCCGTAGAAGCAGCATCAGGGCTACCGGATACACGAAGGGTAAATCGAGCTGCTTCTTTATCTTGACATGGTGAGATCAAATGAGTGATGCTACTGGGATCCTGTATGCGCGTTTCCGAGACGCAGCACACTTCGATGGCACGAGATTCTAAAGTCCTAGCTAATGACGCCTGTTGCCCTATTTGACACAATGTCCGTACATTAAAAGCTCCAACATGTAGTCAATAGCGAGGTTTAAGGAGACCAGGAACGACGTTCCGCGAACTCGTATCGTCTGCATTAGCTGTGCACTGTGATGAATGAATGTGAGAAGAGTTAGTCGTGGAGATAAGAGAGGTACTAGGGGGTGTAGGAAGGATTTGATTTTGACCAATTTGGTCTCGCGTGCTGTTACGGGTATGAGGGCGGTTGTCACTTCCCGGCTGCCCACACCGTGGAAGGTTGTTTCTTGAGGAACCTGAAAAGGAAGATAGATTAGTGTTGGTGCGTGACCGCAGAGCCCAAGGGACAACAGCTTGAGGCCGGTCACGCACGGCCTTTATATGAAATGTTTTTTGAGGATTAGCTCCGTTCTTAAAGGCCCTAGTTGTGGGCTCCCTTACCCAAGGAGACGGAAATCCGTGAGTTAGGGGAGGTGTGACATTTTTAGGGCCGACCTTTTCTAACCCTTCCTTCCTTGTGAGAAGGCAGCATCGCTGCAGATGCTGGTTGTCCGAGGGAAACACCTTACTGCTGTCACACCCCTCTGCAGTCAGCAGTACGACTTCGCCCTCAGACCTTGAGTAGCTGCTTTTAGTCTCATCGTTCTCCAACCGACCTGTCTGGCATGGTAGAACCTTGAGGAACATATGTTCCAGCCAGTATAGCTCGGTTGGGTCATCACGATAGGCAAGCCCGACCACCACGTCAAGGTAGCAGCTACGGTCGGGATACTCTGATAAAATATGCAACATATACATTGTGAAACATTCGATCACATTTCAAGAAGTCTGATCCTCCCCAACATTATGACTAACAGTCACATCTAGATAAAGCTAATGATACGAATTCATAATTGTTCATTGAGTTACAATTATAATGTTCAACAAACCTTTAAGGTAACATCAGTTTAAACAAACAACTCGGCCGTAAATCATCTCTTCAACTCTATATACCGTTTATGAATCAAAACTCTGTCTTGCTTAGTTCTTAATTTGAAACTGTAACTCTATTCATTAATTGTTTTAGATGTTTATTTCTGCACAAAATTAGTTTTAGATACAGATTTATGATTTTCAATCTTCAATAAATTATTGAGTTACTGTACCTAGTTCTCAAAAACCTGTAGGTACCTTTCTTTTAATCGACAGATTAAATATTTCTTTAGGATTAATATTTCTTAATTTGCACGAATGTTAAATGCTCTTGTTTATCTTTGTTTCGCGTGACTAAGCGGAAAATATTTGTCAACACTGATACTTTCACACACAACAAAATGAAAAATCTCAACATAAAAATTTAAAAAAAGCACATGATGACTAAATATATTTAATTACTTTCTCATCGTAGTCCCACATAAGCCGTGATTGCAAAATAAATACTCGTCAAGTCTGGAGTTGCTGGTTTATTCACATCCTTAAATAAACTTGTGAAAAGTTTATCATCGTTTAATTACTAGTTTATTATGTAATATATTTTCATCTGTAATAGATTCATAGAGACAATAGGATATTTTGCAGCTTTAATAGTGAATTGTTTCCCAATCAAAGAACCATTAAAAAGCTGTTTCGTCCCAGTTTGTGACTCTTCCATAAATCCTCCCGTATTATTAACAGTCATGTGCCTACTGTTGTAGTTCCTGAAGTTCTCGTGAGATGCCGTAACTAGTGGAATTTCGTTTCCTACCTGGCTTTAGCCAGTTATTCGCTGCAGGTTATCGATGAAGGTTGCGCAAAATCATGAATTATCTGAAGTTAGACATTAACACTTGGA